TCATGCAGGCTGTGACCTTTAAACAATCCATCACCCTGAACTGTTGATTCAAGGCAGGATGGATCCATGCTTTCATTTTTCAAAATTCTCACCCCACCATGTAAATTTTGCAGAAGACATTAGAATAGGCAATGTTTTTCCACTCTTCTATTATCCAATTTTGGTGAACTTGTGCAAATTGTAGCTTCAGTTTCTTCTTCTTAGCGGAAAGAAGTGTCACCTGATGTGGTCTTCTGTAGCCCATCTGCTACAAGGTTCAATGTGCTCTCCATTCAGAGATGCTGTTCTGCATACGTTGTAATGCATGGTTATCTGAGTTACTGTTGCCTTCCTATCAACTTAAAGCAGTCTGGGCATTTTGTTCTGGTAACAACATTGTGTTTTCTCCCAGAGAGCTGCCACTCACTGGATATTCTCCCTTTTTTCCAGAACATCCTCTGTAAACCCCGGAGACAGCTGGGTGGAGAAATGTCAGTGTGGAAATGAATAACAATGAAATATTCATGTGAAAATGGCAATAGGATGCAGGAGCTTCAATTAACAGACCACAACTGGCCATTTATTAGAAACATACAAACATACAAAGAAATTATATGACCGCAAAAGTCATTGAATTTCTTGTATGGCAACAACTCCTGTGACTGGAGGCAACCACCAGCTGCAGTCCTAGAAGCAAACAAGGAATTAAAAATCTACACTAAATACAGCCGCTAGAATTACTAAACAAGTCAGTTCTGTGAATTGCGTCTAAAACGATCCTTAAATAAAAGGCAGCCAGTGCTCTGCTCATTTTCTGCCTACAATTAAAAGTAACATATGAATTAATAAATACAAAATACACCAATACAGAAACAGTAAAGCTTTACAATTATTAAAACTACTCATAAAATATCTGTCATTTCATTTTATCTGGCAAAAGTATTAGTCAGATCTGGAAGTCAGGCAGGAAGCAGGCCCTACAGCTGGCAGCAATCACCTGTGTGACTCACTTGTGATTGGCTCTTCCCTTGCTTGGTGTTCCCAAGCTACACTCAGACCAGCACACCTGGCACCAGGAACTGTACCACATTTAAAGTCTCTTTATTACTTTTGTTTGTTTATTATTAAAATGCCAGAGGCCCAAACAGTTGGTCTGAGATTCAGTAAGTGACCTTAAGGCATGCTTTGGATTGTTCATGTGATGTACCAAGTGAACCTGCATCACATGATAGGGCAAGATACCCATTCAACAGTCATATTTTCCCTGCATAAAAAGTTTACTTAAAAGCTATAATAATTAAATGTATTTGAAAAAGGACAATCACAGCCTTTTAGTGTGGAGAGTACAGCATTCATTTCTGCCTGCAATGACTCATTGCGTGATGTAACTTTGCCACATCCTGCTTTATTGAGTCCTGTGTAGATATTAGTGTTATAAATATCCACCAATGCGCATGAGCATTATCTGACTCTCCCAGCTTTCCATTGTGCATGCTATTGATTGTCTGTGGTTCTGAGCCACGGTTACATTGATGAGGGGAGACCTGCCAGCAGTTATCAACATGCACATGTTGCAAAAATTACAAAGTGGATCACAGCTCTGTGGTATACACCAGAATATTTTGATTGTATTCTCCGACATGTTACTCGATACATGAAAATTTTCTGTGGTGGTTTAACATAACCGCTTGACTGCTTTGTGAAGTCTAATGGTTTTTGTCACTCTATCGGAGTTCAATGTATTTCTCAGTAACTCTGAGTTATTAGATTGTCCATTGCACTGACATAATAGGGACATCCTGATCAATACGTCCACACTTTCTTGTTAACACGCTGCACACTTTTCCTGCACCTCGCTGCACTCCTGATGCCAATCATAGGTGGTAAAAGTGTCTTTGCAATGAACTCTCACATCTGGAGTGAGTTTTATAGGCTAGCTTGGCCTTTTTAACAGAAGAATTTTCATTTTCCCATCTCTAACACATTAACAGACAAAAAAGAGCATTTTGTGAAATGTATAATACAAGAAAATAACATCTGATACCCACCCACAACCATACCTTGCAGTCATACAGACTCGCTTCAAAAACAGAGTTTGCCTCACATTTTGTTCCCTTTGCTGTTCCTATTTTTGATGAGCGCAGCTGTACGTGCCCCTGTGAACACTGAGCAATGAATGCTGGAAGCCATTGTGGTTTTTTGGCTGGCATAGCAGCTCACATCAGTGACATTAAGGCTTCATTCTATCGCTGTGTCTTCAGGCCATTTCCAAAATAAAGATAAATTCTTGTGATTTTTGAGATTTCTTTGCTGATATATTGAGACAGGAAGACAAAGTTCAAATAATGCAGCGCTGCTTCGATGTCTTGCAGCTTCAGCAGAACAAAACTAGTACAAAAATCCAGAAATATTTTTTAAAAAATGAAAGTGAATGAAAACTGCATTGGTGTTTTAGGTTGTTTTTTTTTTTTAATGTACACTGCAGAAATGTGTACATGTGGCTTGTATTGATTTTGGAGTTATACTGTACATGCACAGACCAATACATTCCTCATTCAGCTGGTTATTTTTAAATTCAAAAGGTGTCATACAGAGTATTCGATAGAGTTTAATAGAGTTCAAAGTAGCTGCTCGCGGCAGCTTTCCTTTCTGTCATTGGACGGTGCAGGAGTATAAATTGAAATGGGAGTGTGTGTGCTTCACATGTGCCGCCCAGTTCAATTAGAAAGCGCATCACACAAGGGAAGCTTCTGTGAACGTCAGGGCCCGTGGAAAACTGTGAGTACAGCTCTTGTCTCTATGGCAGCTTAGTTAGTCACAAAAAAGCAGCTGAAACAGTTTTTCATCCTCTCGAAACCTGTTGTTTTTCATTACATGTGACAAATGACAGTGATGTCAATGCTGTAATTTTAAGTTTAAATTACGTTTAAGTAAGTTTAAGTTATTTGTTTTCATTCTGGATCTAGATTGCAGTAATCTAGAATAGATCTATGAATTTGTAGTCACTGAATGTATATTATAACAGGCATTCTCAGATTTTATATATGCAAAAATGAAGTATTGCTGTGTTCCTGTTATTATGCACACTTTGAATATGGTAGAAAAATAAGCAAGACTCTGAAAGCACAAACCTCCACTAAGGCAGCTCACTCTCTTGGGGTCAACTTCAAAGACAGGCAGATGTGAAATGTAAACGTGAGGTCCTCGGTCAAATGTGACATGACATTTGGATACAAACTATAATGTAAGACTCCTCATCATATACCAGTTTCATTTCCTTTATTGTGCCAACGCAAACAAAGGCAACAGAATTTTAAGCATAGTTTAAGAGAAAGTTTTATCAAAGTTATACCTTATTTGGCCTTGAAGAAGTCAGAGGTCCAAAGTAATGTGATATTTAGAATCCTCATATATCATTCACTACATACCAATACCTTATCAGTACAAACAATGACAATAAGATATATAGTTTTAAATACATCTATATATCATTATTATCACATTGAAGCAAAGGTCAGAGGTTAAATGTGACATAATATTTTAAATCTTTCTATGGTACAATAAACACCACAACTTTGTTTCGAAGTTATAAGGTTTTTAGTCAATTCTTGACCAATAAATCATTACATTGACCTTGAAGAATTGGTGGATGTAAGCCAAATTTTAATGGACATATCCTACTCTACACCCTTACAATGTTTTATCACAATTCATTGAAAAACCTTTCACATTTATGTTAGCAGTGGTAACAATGTGATCAAAGCAGAGGGATTTATATTGTAAAGTTGTAAATAAAGCAAATATTTTCCCAGGAACTGAGTTTGTGCAAGTTTCTGAGGACTCTTGACTGCATTGCCGGCCGATGGAAAAAAAATTCAGACCTGTACATCCTCATCAGAACACCAGGGAGATCATAAGTCACAAGGCAGAAATGTGTGATCATCAAGAAAAAGAGCACAAGCACAGAAGACCAGCCAGCTCCAAAGGTCCACATGTGAAGCACCACCATCAAAATCAAGGCCATCAGCGTCACAATAATAAACAAAGGTCAGATGGCAACGATAGTCATGAGTAAGTCCATCCTTTTTCTAACTGTATGTTAACAATAATTATTTAAGCATTTCATATAGATTTTGTTTTTGTTTTTGTTTTTGTTTTTTTACAAAATAAGGATTAATCATGTGAGGTATTTTCCATTATCAGTGATGAGAAGTAACCTTTTCACCAATCATGTCATATGCTATCAGAATAGAATTTTTGTTTCTTCTTAAAATTGTCTTGGGGGAATGAATCTCTGGGGTTGGTTGGTAGTTAGGCTAACCAAGTATCAGAATTAATTTACTGTAGACACTGTGCCCTTTAACACCCATGTTTTCTTTTTGAAATAGCACTCATTCAACAGCAGAGGAGAGCATTTTGAGTGATCATCATACCAACCGTCAACATCAGTCCGAATCTCACCATTACCACCACAAGCAAAACCATCGCCATGTTTCTCTTTCACAAACTTCCTCAAGTTCCTCAAGCCATTCTTCTTCATCCTCTTCATCTTCATCGACATCCTCATCTTCCTCTTTGTCCTCCTCTTCTTCTTCCTCCTCCCCTTCCTCTTCCTCTTTCTCTTCCTCTTCTACAACATCTTCCTCTTCTTCTAGTCTGTCTTCTGAGAACAGCAGCAGCAGTGACACTTCAGATAGCAATCCTTTCAGGAAGCCACAGCATTCACAATCCTGGACCGATATCTCTGGAAAACACAAGTACTTTGATGAAGGAGATGATACGGCTCCTTTGATTAATAAACCAGCTAAACTAAATGAGTTGCCCAACAAACAGAAACAAGAGAAAAGCAAGTCCTCTCGTTGTGGCCCCAAAAAGGGAACCTCAAAAAGCCCTAAGAAAATTGCAAGAAGCTTTGAAAATGATGGAAGTTTCCGCAAAGCCAAATCAATGGAGGCTCTCACCACACCCAAAGACAAAGGACATGGAAATGAGGATGAAAATGAATCGGAGAAGAGGAAAAATGAAGCCAGGAAGAATTTAATGAAAGAAAAAATGAAGTTCTCTGCTTTTCTTAATGAGATTACTCGGCAGGTGCTCAGCCCAATGAGGCTAACCACTCTTGGCGTGACAGATGCACAACGACCCTGCAGTCCAGGGCAGGCCTCTCTTAGATCCAGGAAGGCGGACAGCAGGACTGACAAACCTAGACAGCAAAGAAGCCGGCCCACCAGTGCGGACTCAATTAGCTCCAGCAAATATTCACACTCTTCGCAGTTGTCTCAATCTAAATCTTTCCACGGTGAAAGTCGCTATTTTGAAGAGTCACCCCATCACATGCATCATAGGCCAAAAAGCTGCACAGAATTCAGCTGTTTTAGAAGACGTCACTCATGGTCTCAATCTCCTGAGCGTCACTCCCATTCTTTTAAGCACTACCATAACCACCACAAAGGAGACCATGAGACTTCTAGTCACCATCACCATCATCATTACCATGGAAATAGCCCAAGTCCTCACCATCATCACAGAAAGGACCACAGTCCTGTTTATCCCCATGGAGATTCACATAGCCATACTTACCACAACAAAGATCACCACAGTGCATCACATCACCATTACCGTGGGCAACATCGACATAGAGAACCCTACAGCCCATCCCATCATCATAGTAATGCACACCATCACCACCATGGCAAGCACTACGGTCATGTTCATCACCATCACCATCATCATGTAGACCACAATAGCCAAGGCCATCACCAAGGAGACCATGATAGTCCTGACCATCACCATCATCACAAAGACCACCATAGTCCAGACCATCAACATCATCACAGAGACCACCATAGTCTAGACCATCCACATCATCACAGAGACCACCATAGTCCAGACCATCACCATCATCACCAAGAAGACCATAGCCAAGGTCACCACCATCACCATGGAGACAACCATAGTCCAGACCATCACCATCATCACAAAGACCACCATAGTCCAGACCATCACCATCATCACAGAGACCACCATAGTCCAGACCATCACCATCATCACAGAGACCACCATAGTCCTGACCATCAACATCATCACAGAGACCACCATAGTCCAGACCATCACCATCATCACAGAGACCACCATAGTCCCGACCATCACCATCATCACCAAGAAGACCATAGCCAAGATCACCACCATCACCATGGAGACAACCATAGTCTAGACCATCACCATCATAGTGGAGACCACCACAGTCCAGACCATCACCATCATCATGGGGACCATCACAAGCCAGACCATCACCATCATCACGGAGATCACCATAGCCAAGGCCATCACCATCACCATGGGAGCCACCACAGACCAAACCATCACCATCACCATGGGGAGCACAATAGCCCAGAACACCAACATCATCATGGGGACCACCACAGTCCAGTGCATCAGCATCATGGAGACCACCGCAATCTGGGGCATCCCCATCATCATCATGGAGACCGCCACAGTCAAGATCATCATCACCATCATCATAGAGACCACCACTTTTCAGACCATCATCGTCATCATGGAGACCATCACAGTCCAGACCATCACTATCATCACCGTGACCATCATATTTTGAACATTCACCATCAACATGACCACCACAGTCTAGATCATCATCATGATGATGTTGATAGTTCAGGCCATCATCACCATGAAGATCAACATAGGGAATCTCATCACCATCAGCATCATGGAGACCAGCACAATCCAGGCCATTGCGTACAACATGTTGACCACTACAGATCAGGTCATCACCACCATGAATCACATCCCAACCAGCACCACTCAAGAAACAATGATCTTGACCATGATGACCATCACACTCATTTGAAGGGGCATTCTGCTGGCAGTCCACCAGCACACAGGAAGACGGAGCCTCTTTCCATTAAACCAGAGTCTTCCATGACAACAACAAGCAACCCCAGCAGCCACGAAGAGGAACGAACAAGTTTCATTGGCCCATCATTACAACAAGTATGGCATTATTATACTCACTGAAAATGTTTTCTATTATGGTGTGCATACATACAAGTAACTACCAGGATCATATGGCTGCCTGTGTTTTATGTTTTTTATTATCTGGTTATGTAATGATGTTCATCTAATTTCCATTCATATTGATTTGGGCAACAGCTTACACGTCATGGCAGACAATAGATCTGCAAATGACGTTCACGTGTTAAAGAACAATAGATTAGTTGCAGAACAATAGATTAGCTACTAAATACAAACTAATAGCAATCAATTTGACATTCTAGACTAATATTCTGTGTTCATCTTTCATTTCATTTCATTTTTCACTTTAGGCCTAACAGAGTACCCGTTGAATGCTTTTTTAAAAAGATTTTTAATTTATGTATTTATTACTTCAATGCAGGAGAAGAAAGAGGAGCTGGATAGAATCATGTAAGTGTAATGTTATTCGTTTGGGTATTTGGATGTGTAACATAGAAAATATGGAACTGTTCATTTAAAAAGAAAAACAACAATTTAAAAATAAATGGCAAAAAGCTTGACAACTCTTGCTTTTTGTCTGTCTGTATTATAGGATAATACAAGGACAAAATGAAGGTCTGCACCACAGTTTGCTGAAGACAGCAGTGAGGATGGAGTGTTTGGGAGAGGAATTCATGAGTAGCCAAAAGCTGTTGGAGGTGGAACTTCAGAGGACACGCACAGAGCTCAGCAACCTCACGGAGAGGTTTAAGAGGTTAAGAATGCCTTTTCCAGAGACTAACTGCAAATAGTGATAACAGTTATAATGTTTGCTGAGTAAGTCTGTCTCTGCCTTATTTCAGACTACATGATAACTGTTCCTCCACACAGCAGACTAATAATGTTCTGGAGCAAAAGCTTCACTCAGTGGTGAGAAAGCAAGCATGGCTGTACATCTGATGTAAGACATCCATTACTATAAACATATATGTGAGCTATTACATCATGTTCCCCCATTTTTCTTCTGTTTCAGACTCAAAATATGGAAGAAGAACGACAAAGGTTGAACTGTCGTATTTCAGAGCTGACAAAGCAGCTTGATAATGTGAAATTTGCCAACTCTGGCGAAGTGTTCAGTGTAAGCTCTTTGGCATTCTTTCATTTCTAGGTCTGGAAAATATTAGTAACATTTAATTCTGGCATTCCTTGCAAATGTCAAAGTAGCGGCTGCTAAGGTTGCAGAAAAAAATCTGATTGTTTAGATCAGTGACTCCCTAAGTGTGGAAAGTATCTCTAGTTGCTGCAAGTGAGCTGCAGTAATAACAGAAATTCATTTTGAAATTACTTTTTAGTCACATACAGTTAGATATTTATATAAATGTATTTCATTATATAAAAAATAACTTTAAACTGGTAATGGGGGTGGGGGTGGGGTGGGGGGGGGTTAGTTTGTGATATTAATAATTACTCTCACCTAAATGTACCACTCTGGTATTGAAGTTTGTGTGTCCCAGAGGCAAGTGGGTCACACACTAGCCTAAACACTTATGTCTGAGTAGGATTAGCAATTTATAACCAACAGCCTGTGTAGTTTATGTTTTTTGAATACAGTTTTCAAGGAAATGCATCACTCTTTCTTGTATTTTGATTAGAGTGAGATTTATGATTCGGTAGCCCTGGAATTTTTGGTTTTTAAGCAGGCCCGCAGCACTCTTGATATCAGGAATGTCTTATTTAAACGTTTATGGAAAAATACCTAAATTCCCACTGGATTCAATACCGCAATAATAATTTGATATTCTAGTTGTAAGTTTGTTAAATAGATGACAAACCACATGATTTATGGTGTTTCTAGCTTGTGATTGACAAAATGCATATGTATGTGGAGTGTTGTTGGTTTTTCAGTCGGATCCGTTCATCCCTTGTGATTTCTGATGTCTGTGAAGATGATATTGACCAAAATGTCAAATTTGCACTGCACCTATATTAGTCTTTTCATACAGTATGAAGTATAAATATGTTTTTCCTATGTCTTAAATAGTTTAGAGGACAGTGTAGCACTTGGCATTAGTATAATTTTGTTCATACAAAACCTTTGTTTTTCTTTCAATAATATTTTGTATTTATTATTTCCAAATTCCATTGAACTGATCAGTTTCTCTTCTCATTTCAGGTGACTTCTGCAATCCACAAAAACAACCATCATTTTCAGTCAGATGATACCATTAATCAGGTGGTTCTCCCAATCGCTCCCCCTCCAGTTCAGTTTATGGACAACGATAATTATGGAAAGGTTAAAGCTGCTGGGCAGGAGCAACCTCTAGGGTCAGTCCCAGAGGAGGAGGAATCTGACTGGTCTGAAATGGGAGAAGAGACCCCACGACTTATACTGACAGGATCAAACAGGGGTCAGACCTGGAGACACCGGGAAGCAGACCTGGACAGAGACAGCGAGTCAGGAAGTGAGGAAATTCCCAGACGACACTCTCCACGCCCACTGCAAATACCTCATCTTCAGTTCACCTCCCACAGTGACAATTTACCTGCACCACAAACTAGTTCTCGCCCTTCTGGCATGAAGAATCTTTCTGATGGCATTACAGGTGAGGGAAGTTACAGGTCCTCTAGTCCAAATCACGGATCTGCCATTCTTATCCGGTCAGCAAGCCTGGAGGAAATTCCTCTGGCATGCCATCACATGCAAAAAGAGCTGAGAGGCACAGAGGCCATGATGGACCTCCGCCATCAAGGGAATGAAGCTACTGAGGATTTAGATAATGAGATCATTCATCATTGGAACACAAGCAACCACAGGGTTATTGGGAGGCCAATAGATAGCAGTATGTCAGAGGCAGAAAGCAGCTTGGCCAGCCTGCAGTCAGCCGAGCGGATGCTAAACCACTTCATATGTGATTCTTACACTACAGAGGGAAGAGACAGGGCTGAAGTACATGGCTGGATAGGAGGGATTCCAGATGAGGTGCTGAAAGGAGAGCGAACAAAGCTGTGACAGTAACATGACTGCACTAAAATCCTAATTTAATGTAGCTGTAGTAGAAAGTTTAATGAATAAGCTCATTTTAGTGGTTTATGGATTCAGCCACATTAATTTGATGTTTGATGTAATTTAATTTCTGAATTTGAAAAGTAGATTTTATGGATTTACTTTGATAAACTGATGCTTTAACTTTCCTACTGTCCAATTGGTGTATCCAATAAAAGTGATGAGTTTCTAGCTTTAAATTATTATAGCTGGCATTTGCTGAAAGTGATTGTTGGTCGATGAAAACTATGTATATAAATGTGCACCTTGGAAAATCCTGTACAGCTTAGATAAACGGATTAATTCACTGTAAAATGTAAATGTGTATTTTTGTTGCATAGATACAAATAGAATGGTCAGCCAAAACCACTGACAGGTGGACCTCCAAGGCTCCACCACAGAGCCCACATGAGCCAAAGGTTCCACTGCTGAAACAACAAAATAGCCACAGTTCATACTCTGACAGGTCAAATGTGGTTTTGTGGCTAAAGGACGACATACACAATGTTAGGCAGGTGGTTTTAATGTTGTGGCTGATTAGTGCAGTTCCTTTTCTTTTTTCATCATTGCAGAATTTTAAAAAATGATCATATAAGTTATACTTATTTACATAGGTAGCTACTGTTAGATACTCTTGAATGCTATAAACAACATCAAGCACAATTTAAAACAGTTAAAAAGATCATATTGAACCTGATTTCCTTTCAGTTTAGAGTAAAATTTAATTATGATAGGCTTGCCTTACATGCTACTGATAATATATATATACTTATAAATACAATATTGCTATAGCTTTTAAAATGTGAAAATGATCTTATGTTTGCTGTTTTCCTCATATTACAATATCCTGCCAAAATAAAAGCTTGCAAATGAACAGATTTTACAGTTGTGTCTCTGTCCATGTCACATCTAACTGAAATGAAAAAAACAAACCCAAAACAAAACAGTGAGACACAGTTTCAGCTGTGAATAGAATAGAATAGAATTCAACTTAAGTGTCATTGTACATGTCACAAGTACAAGGCAACGGAATGCAGTTTGCATCTATCCAGAAAGTGCTTTAGCAATAATATAGATATATTACAGAATATAGATCTATTATAGGTATGTTACAATGTACACGGTATGAAGGTACTATAACTATAAGCATGTACAGGCTATAGCTGTAGTAATAATAATAATGGATTGGATTTATACAGCGCTTTTCATGGACCAGTACGGTAGTTACTGGTAGAGCAGAGCAAAGTAAAAAAAAAAAAAAAGAAGTAAACATTCAATACTAGTATGACAGCGTGGATACTTTGTTTCTATTATCTAAGTGATGTAATCCACTGAATTGAGTTAAATAAATTATTTTTTGGAAATGAAAAAAATCTATAGATACACCTTAAACATGAAAAACGTCTGAAGCTTATAGCATTGCTGTCACGTCTATTTTATTTATGGCCTATATCACATTTTAAAGAAAAGCACGTTTACATTCCACGTCTCCAAAAATTCCAGTTTCAAAATACAAGAAAAGCTGAAAGGTGTGTTTTGTTGCACTGACTAATAATTGTGGAAAGCAAAAATTTCAATACTTACCCTGTATTTACTTGATCCTGGATTGATACCAAAATTAGAACAACAGTAGTAATACACTTTCAGATGCCTTTTGTGAACTGTAATAAATCATCATCTCACTGTATACATGTTCTGATTAAGAAGGTGGAGACAAATATTAATGATGTAGATTCATTGTAGATTTGTTTGCTTACATGTAAGAGGAGTTCTGCAAAGTCAGAGCAAATGAAAGAGACCATATTGACCAGAAATATTAATGGAAGATTGGTACCAGTATGGAGGAGGAGGTGATAAGGTTTCCCACTTTGGGACCATGCTACTTGGATTCAGAGTATTAGTCAGGCAGTAATGAGAGTTGGCTACTCTTCCCCTCATATATTACTACACAGAGTTGAGAGCCAGTGACTCTGGGTCACATACAGGACTTTGACTGTTTCTCAACCTGTAGACTTCTACATAATGGCAAATTGAAAATGGAAATAAATATTTAGACCCATTTGTCTGAATTTTTTTTTTTAAATCTCATTTAATTTTCTTGTACTTTGTAATTTTTTTTCAGTAAATGTGTCCCAAGTGTCTGCATTACACAGATAATGACTTGTGTATTAATAATACCTCCCTGTCAAGTTCAATTTGGCTTGTCATCCATGTCCCTCTGTATGAGTGACGGATGCTGAGCAGACAATGGCCTGGATCCACAAACCAGTTTAATAGGATAGGTAGGTATTAGTGGTAAGACGCCCCCCTGCATCCAGGTTTACCAAATCCAGTGTGCCAAATCCACTGTGTGGCACATTGGACGGTACACAGTGGTTGCTGGAGATAACTGGACTTTTTTTCCAGAATCTTTTAGGAAAAAATAAGGTAAAATTTGACCCACCAACATCAGCTTAATTGAAGATGCACCACTTGTGATGTAAAGCTCTAAAACTCAGAAGTTTCCAGGGACTTTCTGCTAACCTCTCTACTTCTTAGTTTGGTTGTTTGTTTCTCACTAAACTACTGTTTTTGTGTCTGAACTGTCCTCACACTGTTTATACAGGTGTGTTTCAGTTCTGCCGTCTTCATCTTTAAGCCTTTGGAGTCCTCCCTCTCATCTCTTCTCCTCTCTCACAGCCAGAGCACAGCATCGTCCCCCGCGGCCTCGTCGCTCTCCTTCCCCTACCCCCCCGGTGAGACCTGGTAAGATTCCCCCGCTGCAACCATGGTGGTGATGAAGATGAAGTTCCCCTTTCAGAAAAGGGTGAAGCTAGCCCAGGGACTGTGGATCCTGTCTTGGTGTGCCACAGTTGCTGGGGCCACGACCTTCACCCTGGGGTGCATCCTCAAGACGGAGCTCCGCAGGAGGGCAGAGGTACTTAAAAGTTGACCTCCTAGAGTAAATACTTTCTTATACTTTTTGAATTTACCCATTTTTGTCGTGTAGAATGCCTGAAAATTACTACTGGGTAATTACTATTTGCATGAAATGTAGTATTAAGAGTATGCATAGTTACTGTAACTGTGTGTAATGGGAAGAAAGTCATTAAAATTATTGTTGTCTGCAATGATAACTATTACAAATAATGTCAAATAATAAACCACTAATAAGTGCTAATATTTCTAATCTCACATCAAATTGTGCATTAAATATCAGGGGTGATATATTTAATTGCCTGAAGAATCTGATTATACACTTTAATACCAGGTGTGAATATTCCAGAGTACACTCAACAAATGCCTTCTGTGTTGGGTTTTAACTGTAGACACTAGATTTTCAGGGAAAATGCAAAAGGAAAAAGTCTTAGAGGATAAATGAAATCTCCGTGCTAATCGGCAATCAACACACCTGTGACCCACTTTGGATCCTGACTCATCATTTCATAAATTAGGCTCCGTCAGTCTTAATTACCCTAATCCCTACTGCTCCTTAAAGCTGTCACCATAGCTTTGTATGATCAGTTTTATTATAACACACGCTTGGAATGATTGAAAAATGCAAAGAAAATGTTATCTTATTATGTAGATTACAGCAAAGGTTTCATCACATCATCAGAGAACTCCGTTTGACTGAACACAAGACTTTGTTGTGTTTTCAAAATTGAACTATTTTCTTAAATTTCCATTTTACCAAAATGAATCTCTGCAGATGTTAGTTTGCTTGACATATAGCTTCAGGAAATGTGCTCTACAAACATGTTCCATTGGAATCACATTGGTTTACCAAATACGTAAACCAAAGACAAACCAAAGACAAACAGTGCAGCATTCAGTAGAACCTCACTACCATATTTAAAAGGGAAGTGGCTGCAATTTCATGCAGTTGTGGTGTTTGTGTCTGTTCTGTATGGTAGAAGTGGATAACAAACTGAGTTCTGAGTTACTAAATGTACGACAGGTATCCTTGAACGATACGTTTAAGCCTGAGCTTGTGAGCTCATACATTCTGGTCTAGTTCTTCATTATGAGGTTTACCATCTGACAGTAATGCTGACAATATGTTTTATTTCTATATATATTTACACACATTTACAAATTGACGTCTCTTCATCAATAAAGGTGGAATCCTTTTAAGCCTTCTAAGCCTCATCAACGCATGTTGTGATGTCAAAAATATTAACTTTCATTTCAGGACTGTACTCTCCGCATTAGTGTCTATATATTCAAAATAGACACTAAGAGAAGAACAGTCTGACTTATTAGAGGAGAAAAAATTGGTTAAAAAGTTTACATATACATGCAATTATGTTTATGGCTGTGAACATAAGCACTCTGGACATTTTATTAGACATTCACCTGACACAACTGCTTTTTGCTTTTAAGAACTGACTTAATTATTCATAGCAAAGTTTCAACATGCTGCTGGAAACATTCCTTAGAGAGCTTGGTCCATATTGACATGATAGCATCACACAGTTATTGCAGATTTTTTGGCTGCACATCCAGGACTTGAATTTTGGTGTTGCATCACTCCCAAAGGTGCCAGATTAAGATCTGGTGGCTGTGGAGACTGTTTGTGGACAGTGAACATTATCATATTCAAGAAACCAGTTTGGGATTATCTAAGCTTTGTGACATGGTGTGTTGTCCTGTACAAGGCCACAGCCGTCAGAAGATGGGTACACTGTGATTATAAAGGGATGGACATGGTCAGGAGTATGTAAGCTTTGGGGTTTAAACCATGCTCAGTTGGTACTGAGGGGCTCAAAGTGTGCCAAGAAAATATCCCCACATCATTACAACCCCAAAACAACAAAGTAAATCATTGATACAAGGCAGAAAACGAGACTCACCCGACCAACATTTTTCTAGTCTTCTGGTGTTCAATTTTGCAGAGGCCATGCAAATTGTAGCCGCAATTTCCTGTTCTTAGCTGACAGGAGTGGTACCTGATGTGGTCTTCTGCTGCTGTAGCCCATTGCTTAAATGTGTTGTGCACTCAGAGATGCTCTTCTGCATACCCTGTTTGTAACAAGTGTTCTTTTTTTCAGTTACCATTCCTTACCTATCGGATTGAGGTAGTCAGGCCTTTCTACTTAAACCTTTAGTATCACAGAGACATTTTCACTCAGAGAGCTGAAGCTCACTGGCTACAAGCAATTTTCTACAAACCCCAGTAATGGTTGTGTAGAACCCCCCCCCACACACACACACACACCAGTATATCAGCAGTTTCTGAAATACTCAGACCAGGCACCAACAGCCAAGTCACTTAAGTCACCTTTCTTCTGA